CATTGAATTTCTGTAGACGAAATGGTATCACCTAAAACTTAGGTTGGTGGGGGGCAAAATGACACTGCTAGACGAGTTTTTTACGACACTGTTCATGATACTTAACTCCTTTTAGAAGAAACAAGTTCAGCCATTTTTCTTCCACTCATTTAATATCAGGTAACACTAATGGTGAGTGAAATTGTCAATATGACCATAAAAGGGGACTTCAATACTAGGCCTAATTTATAAATGGGATGGGAGGCACATTACTGACCAGTTTTCTTAGGAAAAGAATAGCCCTTTGAACCGACATAGGTGCGAGGATTTGGCAAAAGGTGGTTCCTCAAACACTCCTTGTGTCCCTGACTCCCTGTGCCAACAGTTGTTAAAAGGTGAGGCTTGGGTCGAGAGACAAAATAAGAAGTCCTATCCCAGAGCTACAGAAAGGGCTTGTAAGCATAAGCAAACCTTGGTTATCACACAAATATCAACATTGCTGCCACTTCCCAGGTCATTGAATATACCAGAGCATATAGCCTCAGAGACAAGCTGTATTCCTTCATCTCTCTGCAGAGGAAGGAATCAGTTATGTATAATATAATAATAATCAAAATATGTTAATTCAGAAAATGGACAATTAAATGTTAAACAGAATGACAGAAAATGGTATAAAGCAGGAATAGTAGATTGTATAGGAGAGTGTATTCTTCGAACTATTGTAAAATAGCACAACAAAGTGACTCACAAATCGTTTACTTCAAAAAAAAAAATTTTTTTATCAACATCGTTTACTTCAAAATTAACTATACATTTACGCTTCAAACTGTATAGAACACAAGAAGACTTCTAATTTATGTGGATAAAATGTTCAAAGATTTTGCATATGAACAAATGTGAGCCAACAAATATCAGAACTCGTCAAACAAAACAGGTAAACTTCCAGTCAAGCCCTCTCTATACTTTGACTCAAATATAACCATTGCAGCCAGAGAACAAGAATCCATTGTAGCGAATGGCAATGTGTCAACTGATCCATGAGGGTATATCTGCAGAACCAACCATTCTGGTGTCATGAAATGAAATCAATAAAGAACACTAAAAGTTATTATTCTTTAGAACTCTGACAAGTGGAAGGACTCCGGTGTGCAGATGAGGTCCAGTGAAATCAACACCTCCAAGCACCAAGGCAGCTTGGACATAACCCTGGTGCCTGTACAAAACACTAGGCAGTTAGAATCCTAAATCCACTTTTAACTGTAGACAAAAAATGAAATGCAAAGTAAAAGAACTTCACTTGCAAAGGTGGTCTTTTTGAAGGGTCAAAGCTGTAACAACCCGTGACCGTCTACCGGTTTGATAGCGATGTAACTGCAGCTGTGAGCTAACCATGTCTAGCATATAAAGACCATAAGATGTAGTCAGATAAAAGGGTGCAAGAATGGTAAAACAGTACCACACATCACAGGTTTTCAAGCATTAAAACTCAAGAAGCAACCATTACTGGTATTGCCACATCAAACATCAATCTTAAAAAGAACCTGTTACTGCTTCGGTATCAGCAGCAGTTCCAGCTTCGATCTCTGCAGAACCAACCAACTATTGGTACCTGGAAGATCAACCAAACGATTGTGGTTCCGGTATTCCAAAACGATGGAGACTTAAGACCCTTTTTCCCAAGCCCAGGGGAATGTCGAATGCCGCCGTAGCCATTTCCCTTTCTTTCTTTGCTCAGCTTTGGACTCAACTGAGAAATAAAGAGACGGTGGGAGCGAGGAGGTTATATAACCTGCGGAAGAAGTTAGACCATTTTGCAAAGTAGGATTTCATTTATAAATTATTTACGAAAATGGACCCCATTAAAATATTATTTTGCAATGCCGTACCCAAGTTATTTCACATTTTTCCTTTTTCTTTTTTCCTTTTCCATTTCCCCCCTTTTTTTTGGTTATTAAATGAGAAAACTTAGTAGTCGCTTCTGTTTATATAAATTGTAACTTAATGTTTCTATATATTAGTAAATCATTGACAATTGAAAAAATTATTTGATTTAAGTGAAATTATTCAACAAAAATACTATGTATAAAATTTTTAAAAAAAATCAAATGTTATCAATTTATTGTAAAATTCAAATTAGAGTAAGTAGAACATAGGGAGCACTAAATGTTGAATTAAATATGTTTTTAGTATTAAATGGATTTAAAATTTTTTTGAACTTTCTTTCAATAAAATTTATTAACTTTTTTTGGCTGCCATTTCTATTAAAAAATTTTCACCTAGACTGTGTATATTTTAAAAACCAACTAAGCTTGCTTAGGATTCGTTTGGTGCAGTTTTCCAAGTGCTTTAGCTTTTTGACATTATTCATATTTCATAAATTTAAATCTTTTTTCTTAAAAATTTACATTTTTAAATATTTTTTTAATCTTAAAAAAGCTCTAAACAATAAAAGATCAAAAGCTTCAAATTCAAATTTTTCATAAATTTCATTTTTACTCATTTTTTCCTATATGTAAAAGTAACTTTTCAATTTTTTCTTCAATAAAAATTTAAATTTATTACTTATGAACAGTACAAAAAAAAAACAAAAATTTCAACAAGTTACACCAAACAGGCCCTTAGTTCTACTTGTGAAGTTCAAGAATTTATTTTATTTGTGATTTTTACACAAAAACTTTTGTTTCAACAAATACCTAAACTTGGATTGCAAGTGGAAGGCAAATCGCTCATAGATATTATTTTTATTTTTATTTTGAGTTGAACAATAAAAACCAATTATCAATGTATTGCAATACAAACTCAAAATCTCTTAAAAAAAATTATAACTAAAATAACTCATGTTGTTAGGCCATAAACATTATTAATATAAGAACTAATGAACTATGGTGCTTTTTCCTTTTTTCTTTTTTTGGTACAAATATGCTCCTCTTTTTGGTAAAAAAAAAAAAAAGCATTTTGTATTATATCATCCTAAGTAATCTTTAGGGTGGATTACTAGGGGCCTTTTCTTAGAACCAACCAAGACTTTCTTAGTTCAACTTATGAAGTTCAATGCATTTTTTATTTCATCATACTAAGTTGTAAGTACACTTTATAAGAGGATTACTGGGGGCTATCGTGACCTTTTTCTGTCTTCGACAACAACACACCAAATATATGCCATCTCATGCATTTCCCATCAGAACCTCTGTTGGCTTAATCTCCAAAAGCAGTCCTCTCTTAAATTCCACAAAAGGGTAAGCAAGAGGGAAATCATCTGCTTTTATCTTCCACCTGCATTGTAGAAGTGCAATCTCAGTGAATGAATTTAACATGCATTTCTACAAAAAGTTAAGAGAATAGTTAGTTAAAGACCAAATTAATTATGTTGGTCCTTAAGTGGGGTGCAAGAGATTAAGAGACTAATCCACCCATATTATTGTTTAATAGGGGACTCTATGCTCCAATTCTACCTGTAATTCAGGACAAGATGATGAAGGAAGAAGGCAATTTCTACTCTAGCAAGCTCTGACCCTGGACACAGCCTTAGTCCCCCACCAAATGGCATCACCTTTTTTATCATAGCTTTATCCTATTAAAAACAAAGAAATGTTATAGCTCATGTGGGCTAATCAAGGCATCATATTTGCTGATTTGATGCCAAATGTAAAAGAGAGGCTTGTGGGGATATAGTGTTAGAGAGCAGCTTTTGCTACTTACACTCCATCTCCAAGGATTGAATTCCATAGGATTTTCATGGAGGGATGGGTCAAAATGTGCTGCTGTGAAGATTGGAAAAACCTTCCATCCTGCAGGAATTAGATATTCTGCCGTATCCCAGACCATATCTTCAGAAGAAGAACAAAAAATGAGTTGAAGATGAAAGCTAAAGTTTTTGGGACAATTAACCTTTGAATTTGACATCTTTTAGAGCTTGCCGGTGCACCAATTTGACTACATTTCCACACCTCATTCCTTCATTTACAACATTTTGGGTGAATTCCATTTTCTCGTAATCTTCCCAGGCCAAGGGCTGGCCTTCCCCTTTACTTTTCCTTATTGCAAGGTGTTCTTCCTGATCATGGTTGTAGAACAATTAAAAAGAACCATACGTACATGCAGGATGAAAAGATAGAGAGAGATGATAAGCCACCTTTAGTTTTTCAAAAGCATTTGGAGAATAAGCAATGAAGTAGACAATTAAGCCCATAAGTGTAGCTGTTGTTTCATAGCCTCCAAGCAAGATATCCAAGACTATGCTTATTATTTCATTATCACTCAGACTCTGTTTTGACAGAATCACATCTAAGAAATCTCCATTCTCCTGCTCCACATTCCTCTTCTTCCTGTCTTTTATCATTTCCTGGACAGTCGAAGAAAGTCTTGCTCTAGCCTGCAGAAGCAATTGAAAAAGGAATTTTATTAAATGATTGAATCAGCTTAAGTTCAATTTGTTTTTTCTCCTCATACAACCTAACTATATTATATACCTTTACTGCACTGGCATATGGTGTTCCAGGGATATAGACAGGTAAAGACACGAACCCTTTCATGTAAGTTTGGAAATCTTCTAGTATCTTTAAGGCCAGTGGCTCTTCTGGTTCAATACTAAGAAGGTGCTTCACCATGAGATTCAGCGTAAACTGTTAGAGAAAAACAGGAGCAGAAGTTAAAAAACCAATTAACAGGAACTCAATCACAGCTAAAAGACATATTATACCTTTTTAACATGTTGATAGAAGGTAATTTCTTTACAATCTCTCCATGAATTCATCATCGAGACCGACAACTTCTCAACGCAATAAAGGAATTCTGGAGTTGATTTGGACGCACTGATGAAGTTAACAGCTATGTTTCTCAGCTTCTTGTGGAGGTCCCCAGACACGATAAGCAAAGAAAACTTGCCAAGAATGCCGTGCATGGCCTTGGGATAGCTGGCCTGAAATAGTTTCTCTTCATTCTGAAGAACAAACATGTTGAGCTCAGGATCACAAGAGACTATGGTTGGGCAACCAAAGAGATGAGATTTGAAGACTTTTCCGTACCTGTTTAGCAGAAATTTAACATGTTCATTAAATATCAATTCAATGCAATTAAGGGCTAATTAGTCCAATTGATCTCCTATTAAGCTTTTCAAAAGAATATGTGGGTTTCAGGACATCAAAGAAGAATTCTTAATGAAGGCAAATTGAAATAATGATTCTCTAATCATGTCCAAAGAGTACTAATATAAAAGGCTTCTATGATAGACAACATACTTAGTGCAGTGTTCTTCCAGGAAGATTCCAATGGAGTTTGATCTATGAGGCTTGAGGAAGGCAAGAGTTTCCCCCAATAGAGGCCACCCCATGTTACCATTTGGCAAGTTTTCTGGCTTTTGTTTAGGAAAAACTTTTAGAAGAAGCGAAGGCAAAAACAGTCCTATGAACAAGGTAAATAGGACAGGTAAGATCCAAAACATGCTGATTCCTTTGCTGCTCTCCCCTACTTTGCCTATCTATTAAATCTATAACTTGTATATGAAACCAGAAGTTGTGAACTGGAACAAAAATAGTGATTGTTTTATAATATTGTCATGAGCAAATAATAAGAAGAAGAAAACAAACTTACCAACCAATAATTTGTGAAAATATCTGTCTAGAAAGGTCAACCTCTTAAAAATGTCAACCTCTTAAAAATCGGATAATATGGGATTATACTGCCTAAAAAGGTCATACTTTAAATAGTTAATGAAATATAAACTTAAGGTGAAAAGCCAAACCCCCTTGTTAGCACCCTAAATATTTTTTATTTCCACAGTTAATACCCTTAAGAATTATTTCTCCTAATCAACAGCTTTGAGTATAATAAATCCACAAATAATCCAAAATTTAATAGAAGATTCATGTGCCCCTCACATGTCCATTAACACGGATAATTATTATTGACAAGGCTATAACAATAATGGCATGCCAAATATTTGTGCCATGTGGAGAAAAGGAGCACATAAGAATATGATTTTTATTATTTTTTTCTATTAAAGGACATAATTTTTTAAAATTTTTAAATCAAGCATTAAACTTTCATTTTTTTTGGAATAAAGATACAAACTTTGCTCTCTTTTTTTTTCTATGAATTTTTCTAACTTGTACCCTAAAAGCATAGGTCAAGGGCACTTTTTTGTTATAAATGCATAGAAAAATGTAAAAATTAACACTAATTTTAATATTGGTGCCAAGTGGATGGATAATTGATAAATTCAAAGTCAAAATTTGTTTTTTCAATACAAATTTATGATAAATTCAAGGGCACTTTTTTGTTATAAATGCATAGAAAAATGTAAAAATTAACACTAATTTTAATATTGGCGCCAAGTGGATGGATAATTGATAAATTCAAAGTCAAAATTTGTCTTTTCAATACAAATTTATGATAAATTCAAGGGCACTTTTTTGTTATAAATGCATAGAAAATGTAAAAATTAACACTAATTTTAATATTGGTGCCAAGTGGATGGATAATTGATAAATTCAAAGTCAAATTTTGTTTTTTCAATACAAATTTATGATAAAAAAGTACATTTATTACACCCTTAATTTGTATCCTTAGAATGGTAATAATGACATGGCAAACAACAACCTTAATTAGATAGGGCAAACTTTGTATCCTAAGATGGAAATAATAGAAAATTTTGTATCCTTAAATAGAAAAAGAGAAAAGGTACATTTAGGGATACAACTTATATTTGCCCTTTTTTTATTTAAGAATGTGAACTTTGTCAATTTCTAAATAAGGAGTAAACTTTCAATTTTTTTCTATTTAAGGATGTCAATACCACATTTTTTATATTTAAAAATATCAATTTGGTATTTTTTTTAATTTAAGGATTATTGGGATGGTGATGCTGATGTGACAAATGGGTTTTTTAGCCTTCCAATTAATCTTTAAATAGAAAAAATGCAAAGTTGACATTCGTAAATAAAAAAATATTAAAAGTTTACTACTTTATTTAGAAATCGACAAAGTTTACATCTTTAGATAGAAAAAATTGTAAAGTTTATATCCTTATTTGCACCCTTTCTTGTGAAAATTTACTGCCTAATTTGAAAACTTGAAAATTTTGTATTCTTAAATAAAAAAAGTGACAATTTGTATTCTTATCTGAACTTTTTACATGGGAAACTAAAATAATTTAAATTAAGGTAATTGTAATATCCCAAATATTTTTTCAAGATTTTTTGGATTAATTTAATTAAATGGGTAAAAATCCAATTAAGAATGGTATAAATTATCAATTTAAGGATTTGTTAAAATAACTAGAGATAGATAGAATATAATAAAGAATGAAAAAACAAAATGTATAGAGTGGTTAGAAAACTTTAATTAAGATTTATTTAAAAATTAATAAAAAAATATAATCACAATTACAATTATTATACCATAATTGAAAATAAAAAAGTTTTACTTCCTTTTAATTTTAACTAATTAATAAAATTAATTAAACAAGAAAATCAAATGCAAACTATAACCTAACCAATAATTAATGGAATTAAAAGAAATTTTAATAAAAAAAATAAATGATAACGATCATGATTGAAAATGAAGGGCCACTATTCCTATAATTGAATTGTTTTAGGATAAATTTATATTTTAATAGTAACCTAGAGACTAGAGATAGAATACAATAAAGAAAGAAAAAACAAAAGGTATAGAATGGTTAGAAGGTTTTAATTAGGATTTATTAATAAATTAATTAAAAAATATAATCACAATTACAATTATAATACCATAATGAATGAAAATGAAGAGCCACTATTCCTATAATTTAATTTTTTAGGATATGTTGATGATATCCTAATAGTAACAAAAAGACTAGACATAAATTGAATACAATAAAGAATGGATAAACAAAGTATATAGTGGTGAGAAAGTTTTAGTTAGGATTTATTGAGTAATTTACATTAACTTATAATTAATAATTGTTTATTATATTATTTTAATAGTATAGTAATTTTATATTTTAAAAATGTATTAAATGTATTATAAACAATAATTAATATAACTTAAAACCAAAACTAGTGTGAAGATACTAAAACATTCTTAATATGAGTGACGTTAATACATGTTAGAAAACAAGAAGATAAAATAACATAATGAATTGATTAAAAATTATTAGTTTTATAAGTTAAATAGATGGTGAAAGAGTCTAACAAATTAAAATATATATTTAGTTAATGGAAAAAATATATTTGATTGATTAAAATAAAATGCGTAAGATAACTAGTATTGAGGATTCTTTTTTTTTTTTTAAGGAAAGGATTTATTTGGATTATGAGATGAAGATTAATATTAAATATATTTTCAATTCTCTTAATTTTCTTTCCTTTTAACATGACTCTATACAATTTTTTAAAAAGTACAATTGTCGATTACTAAAAGTAATTTTAAACTCAACCTTAATTACTTAATTAAAATCCCTTAATTAAAAAATTATTATAAGATTTAAGAATTGATAAAAAATAGTATAAAATGCAAGTTCTAATGTAAAGAATTAAAGAATAACAGGTAAAAAAAAAGAGTTAAAGTATATAATTAAATTAGAATTTATGTTGGTGATTAAAGGCATGTTTGGTATAACTATTAAAATTCAATGAATAGTGGATAACGGGTAATAGATGGTAAATAACGGGTGGTGAATAGCAAAAAGTGAGTAGCAAATAACGAATAGCAGATAGCAAATAGTAAATAGCAAATTCAATTAATATAATTATTTAGTTATACAATAATTAAGGGTTATTATTTAAAATTAAATTACTTGATATAACTTTTCATTTGCAAGCATCTCCTCTACTCTAATCCACATTAAAGTGTATAATAGACCATCAGAAAACTTGTTCTAATCTTTCCATATGACATTGTTACCATGAATCATTCTCTATGATTTATGAGAGTTTTTTGAAATATTCAGCCGTTGAAAGCTTAGATTTGAAATATCTCTAAGAACAAGAAGACTTTGGTAAGTGGCGAATCCAGATACATGGAAGATCATTTACGCTAAAAATCATGGACTAATACTAAGCATGCATCAAGTTGCCATTAACATGCATCACGGTTCGGGTATTAGTTTTTCACATTTGAAATATTAAAAGAAACACAATTTTTACATTAGTTTTTTCTTTTTTTCTTTATTTTACTAACCCTCAGAATTTGAAAGTCCTATTAAATCTCAACTAATTCAAACTCAAGTCAAATCAGATCCTATAAAAAAAAAAAAATGCTCTTCTAACGTCATATATTTATATTCACAAAATTTGAACTTGAAATTTTCCTTAAAAAAAATCAAATTCCTTTCACTCAGATCATCATATTGTTGGTAAAATTTTAGATGAGTGTTGCTAATTTGAGTGGTTTAGGTTTGAGATTTAATGGGGGTACAGAGGATTTTATAGCATGTTTGGAGGCCGGGATTCACAGTTTCACACTGAGATGGGATAAGATTTTTATCTTATCCGGCTGTCTTCCATGTTTGAGGAGCCTAAAGAATGGGATGCACTCCATCACGTTTTATCCTATCACCTGGACTAAATAAAATGTATCCCACCTCCCTCATGGGATTACGTGGGATAAGACTCTATTTTTTGATTTTTATCCCTTTTCCAATCTAGGCATATCGGCGCTGATGCTAGAACTCATCTTCTCCGTCAACGGCTAAAAACCATCTTCCCTATCAATGGCCAGAATCCATCTTCTCCTTCCTCTCCCTTCTACTCATCTTCTTCTCTATTATCTCCGATGACTTGCCCTCTTGCTTTAGAATGCCGCCTATGTGGTTCAAAGATACAGTGTCAAAAAATACAAAGCCGCTAATGACCCTCACAAATCTAATTCTAGAAACAAGAAAGACATGCTAAAGAAGGCTAAGTAGCCCCCAGAGTACACGAATCTTGGCAAGTCAACAATGGTTAAGCATCAAAAGATCAAGTCTAGAGAGGTAAGATGTGTTTCAAGTCAAAAGTAAATAGGAAAAAATGGCGGTACCGGACTAACGAAAGACCAATTGAATCCAAACTGAAATTGATTTGTTTGGTTATTAAAGATGCATTCATGGGTTCGCTTAGATGAGGATGACAAGGAAGTTGTAATTCACATTTTACATAAAGATAATTTGAACGTTTGGTCTTTTTTCATTTTTGCACTGTTCTTTTTTTCTAAAAATTTTTTCCCAAGAAACAAACAAGAATTTGTTCATAGTATTTCCATTTCTTTTCTCAATTCTTAAACTTTGTTAAATTTCTTCCAAATTGAACTCTATTGTTTTTAATATGTGATTCTCAAATCAGGAAAAAATGATATTATAATATATTAATTAACTAATTGTAATAGTACAGGGTTATTTTTCGTCTATTCATCTGGATATTTATATTTAGTTTCTAGTCCAAGTTTCTCCAGTAATCAACCGAACATGGTGTTTGATTTAATATAATTCAATCCAATCCTATGCATTGAATCTTATCTTCTCCAATCCCATCCTGTACTCTACCAAACGTCCAAACATGTCCTTAAGTTTTATAAGCCAATTGAGGTAGGATGGGATTTTCAATAGTAAATGGGTAAGGAGAAAGAGTATCAACAGGAAAGTAGACCGAGTTAAAAATGGAGGTTTACCTCTAACTCTGTAGATGCTGTTTTGGTGAGTTAGACCTCTTGAAAAATTGGAATTTGCTTTCGCAATGATATGGACACCAGTAAGGTCGCCATTCCATTGAATCGGAGCTGCGTAGCATAATAGCATGGACATGAGATCTTTTGGAGGCAAGTCCTCCAGGTGCTCCACTTGTCCAACTTTGATTGGCCTCTGTTTTGTGTTGAGGAAATGTTCTAACAAGAGGAAAGGATACCTGTGGAGTCCAGTGAAGTCCGAACTGCAAAATACATTTTTGAGTTGTAAACAACAATATTCCTCTTAACTCTGAAGTGCATGTTTCTCTGAGCCGTTGGTGCAACCCATCATCTAAATGCTTAAAAGTTAAGAGAAAGAGATGCAACTCCATGATTTTTATAGTTTTAAGAAACACATGATATCATCAGTGGTATCTATACGTACAAGCAACTCAAGCTTGCAATTTAATATTAGTTCAATGTCAAAAATCCATTGTGTTTCTAGTCCAATTTATCAGCTCACCAATTGATAAGGGATAGTAATAATGTTGTCAGGGCTGTGCTACTTTGCAAGCTTTTTAGCATTCTCCACAGCTTGAACATAGAAATAGAGTCTCCAGAGTGTTACATTTTCCTGAAAGACAACATGCTGGGATATGTTAGGTATTAAAATTTACTCATGATCCATAGCCTTAGGATATTCCTTTACCTCTAGCTCCAAATTAACAAAAATGTCATCTTGATGCTTCTTTCCTGCTGGCTTCTTATGTTGGATGATTTCAGCAACACGACCTAGATTTTCCTGTGGTAGCTTCTGAATCCATTTTTGAAGTTGCTGCTTCTCAGCAGGAGTCATTTGCCTGTAGATTAAAGTTGAACAGTTAGAGGAAAAGGTTAAAAGAAAATATCAAAGAATACCATAAACTTTCTTCTGCCATGGATTGATTACCACATATTTTGCCTATGGCCTAAGTTGTTGATACTTCGTTCCATTAAAAATTAAATATTTTCTTATGAAGTGAAAGTACCTGCACTTGGCTATGAGAGTATCAAGAAGGTCTTCAAGCCTCTGTTCCATATGCCCCAACTGAAAAAACAGGAGACATTAGTTCAGCTATAACAAACAGCCACCTCAGATCCATGGATGAATATGGCAAGTAGGTAGAGATCCTCAGTTTGAGCCATGGTACATTCCTCATGTACCCAAACAGAAAAGCTGCAAGTGATATTCTTAACTCTTAACTTAATAATGATGTAAATAGTCTGAAAATGGTTCATACAACAGGAAGACGAAGACAACTTATGAAAATTACCGTATTGGATAGTTCATCTGAATACTTTTTCACCGTCTGCTCAACAAGTTGGCTATCACTCTGTAGAAGGAACTGCAGATCATCGTCCTCCTAAAAAGAAAAAAGGAAAAAGTAAATGAAGCACACATCCACCACAAGTCAATAAGGATTATGTCTAATTTGGTGCCACTGTCCAAGTGCCACTAATGACTCAAAATGCACAGATATATGTGGATGGAATGGACACACACATTTATTTACCAGATATGTTACATGCAAGATTAGTTTCCTTTATAATGCAGAAGTATTATGATCACCACCCAGCAAAGTTTAAGCTGATTGCGATTGATGATTGAAACACACAAGTAAAGACATTGGCAGTTACACACACACAATGCAAAGAGAGAAAGAGCAGAATATTACCTCTTTGCTAGAATTTGCAGGGACACCTGTTGATAAGGATGAAGGTGACATCTTAAGTTCCTCAGAGTTCATTTGCCCTGCATCACCATTAGATGCTGCACCACTATCTCTACTGCTTTTGTTTCTTATCTGACACTTCAACCGGTGCATAGATAGCACAGGATCTAGCATCTGCATTGATGACATTATTTAGTAATTGGAAATTTTTTTTTCTTTTGAAAAAAGACATTATATCAGACTGTAACAGCATCATGTTACAGGGACTTCCAATTACTTTTTGGATCCATCCAACTCCCTAAAAGCCTCTTACATGTTCTAATTTAGAATTTAAACCTATATTGACCACAGAAACAATATTGGTGCTTTCAAAGAGATAAAAAGAATTGTTGAAACAATCGATTAGAACTTGAAGGGATTTCCAATTCTTCACCAGCCATATTGATGTGCTCAATTTTTTAAAACTCAAATTGGCTCAACTCAATGAAGCCTTGATCCACAAAGTTCACAAGAATAGTTGAATTCAACATCCATTTAACCTACAAAAAATTAGAAGTGTAAAGGAGGAGAATCTGTACTTCTTCAACTTCCTTTGAAAGATCATTCACGCTCTGCATTAGCAACACATTCAATCTTTCTTTCTTAAAATCTGAGATGCTTGCTCCTAAGCTGTTACCGAAAGCAGGACCATCATTGTCACAGTTGTAAGAAATCCTCTCCTTCCCACTGGTCCATTGAAATTTTCCTTCAGGCAACTCAGGAGTGTTTGAAGCGGGCGCAACCATGATATCCTCATTTTCAGACAACAGCCTAGCTATTTCATGGGTATAATAACTGAAGTAATCTGGTCCACCTCTACTCTGCTCGGTTGAATCATTTAAATCTCTTGGAGCTTCTGACATAGTCCAAAGACCCCTACAATGTCTATGACAACTGCATTTTACCGACACAAATACATGAGATAAATTCATATTAAAAGAAACAAATCCTTAAAGATTACATAATTGAAGAGAGAAAAAAAAAATTGTTAAGACGGACACCCAGGAAAGTCTTGTGGTTGTGCTTATGTATATGTGGCCAAGAAATCCACAGAAGCCATTTAAACAGAAACAAGATAAGGAAACAGTGTGCTTTTCCAATGAACCCCAAGTCTCTCTTTAAAAAGAGCTCTTTAAGAAGAGACACCTTTAAGCAGGAACAACTCATCATTCTACAAAGGGTAGGAATTCCCTTATACAAAAAACTTATATACCACACTTATATAAAATTTCAGTTTTTTCCCTCTCTATTCTCTATTTTTAATAATTGAGATTTATTCACATTTAATAATTACCTTTTTCATATAAAAAAATCATAATAAATCTCAACAAATAAAAGATGAATTATCAAAATTTTATATAAATATGAATTATCAAAATTTTATAATATAAATATACTAAGAAACCCTAAGTCTTAATTTGGTGCATAAAAATCAATTGCCACAACATATCTTTCTCTCACTTTCTGTTCTCCTAAACTTTCTTGAGAACCAAACAGAAAAGTAAGGACAATCAACTCCAATTGAAAAGTTTGTCGGAAAGCGTACCGGGACGAAACAGGCAGAAGTTACGATGGCGTCGCGCCCTCACAAGGTTTCTTGAAGACGATAGCCGTTAATATTGTGGGTTTCTCCCCATTCGCAGAAATTGCAAAAATATCTAGGGTTCCGAGCATTTCGCCGGAATTCATCATCTGGATCGGTGCGTCATATCAGCTCGTAAAATCAGAGTGACGAGCCAATGCCTAAATATATTAATTAAATAAAAGTAATTTTTTGTATTTTTAAAGACCACCATTGTAACATTATTTTTTATGTCAGTATATAAAAATATAAATTTATATAATTATTTATCTATCTTATTTTTTAAATATTAAAAAAA